AAGCTAGGTGCGCTCGCGTCATATCTGACATCCTACCCCTCCCTCCCATCCCTTACCATGGCACAGATCCCCTCTCTACTCGCTCAGTCGGATGTCGAGCAGGGAAATGATCCCGAAAGGGTACGCGATGCATTGTAGAGCACGGCATGGCATGGCGTAGAAGAGCACCGCAAAGTATAGTATCAACCTAGCATTGCAGTGCACGCCGTGGCATGGCACGGGAAATGAGGCCAGCGCTGCAGCGGGAGCACGAGTCGAAACGAGCGGAAGCGCGGAAATGAGGCCAGCGCTGCAGCGGGAGCACGATTCGAAACGAGCGGGGCCCGAAAATGAGGCCGGCGCCTCAGCGAGAGCAGCATTTTGAAAAAAATGCAGGCGAATACACAACTCCGGGGTAACCTGTGTGCAAAAAAAACAAAACGCGGAGGGGGGGGTCGGCCACTTTCAAACCGTCATCAGGGGAAGAGAGAGAATAGTATTCATATTGAGTAATTGTGGAGGAGGAGGAGGAGGAGGAGGAGGAGGAGGAGGAGGAGGAGGGAGGAGGAGGAGGAGGAGGAGGAGGAGGGAGGAGGAGGAGGAGGGGGAGGGGAGGGGGAGGGGGAGGGGGAGGAGGAGGCGGAGGAGGAGGAGGGGAAGGAGGAGGAGGAGGAGGAGGAGGAGGAGGAGGAAGAGAAGAATGATTGGGGGAGCCGAGCCCAAACGTTCTCCCGCGTCTTGGAGAACTCAGGACGGGAGGCCCTCACTGGGCACCCCAGGGCCGTCAACAGAACGACGTCGGGAGGAAGATCCCATCCCAGGGAAGGGGTAGGGGCTTCTGGGGGCCCCCGTGCTGAAGAAAACAGGACATCGCATGTCCAGGCAACGAGAACAGGAACAGTGGTGCAGCGGCGGGCCCGACGAACTCGCCGGGGAACCTCGACCGAGATCGTCTGGCAACCTCACCCCGGGGGAGCCGACGAGCTGCTTCAGATGCAGCGGCTGGCCGCTCTCGCGTCCCAGTCTGCGCGTGTACGGATCATGGGGCTCATTCCGACTCGTTCCAGGGAGAACTGGAACGGGAGACGGCGGATTGTGAAGTCGTGGACCAAACTGAGCAAGACTGCGGGTGGGCCGCCCGCGGGAGCCGACGGGGGCCCGACGACCCCCGCCGTCCTCGCAGCGCCCACGGATCGGCGGCAGGCTCACGGTATAGCAAGCCCGCAAGTTCCTGGGTGGGCTGTCGGGCCCCCGTCGGCGATCCGTGGGCGACTGGAGGTCGATGTCATGCCCCCTGAGCCTATCCCCACCCCCCTCACGTGTCCCCTGCTTCACGGGAAGCATCATGTTGCCCCCATCGCACCCAAGGACCACATCCCAGAAACAATTTCGAGCACCCAGGAAGTATCGAAACAGTGTCGAACGAGAATCGCCTCGCAGGGCCCGACACGTGAAAACCATCAGGTTTCGGCACTTGTTGCTCGAACTTCTTTCTGATGGTCAAGGCCGAAGTAGGTTGGAACATCATAAGGGGTGCACGAAAAACAGCACAACCAGACACTTACGATGATGGGCCCGGATTTCTCCACTCGGCGCTGGACCCGCCTCCCTGGCGCGCCAAGCTCGCTGGGGGCGGCGTTGGAGGCGCCTCTGGAGGGGGCCAGCGCAGACCCAAGAAATCCTCCGACCTGCGAGCAGGCATGTTGATGTTTATCCTCCCATCCTGCAGGATGCCCGTGGAGAACAGGTACCTTGAGGGAGAACAAAACACATATAAGGATCCACATGCGAACCCCACCCTCCCCCTCCGAAATCGCGGGGAGTAGGGGTAGGGTTCGCACGTGGCTCCCTAGCCTACGCGTGCAAACTCGTGGGAGGGGCTGCGCGGAAACCTCGGGTCGGCGCTGCACCCCCGCCCCCTGGGCGGCGCCTCCGGCGCCGCCCCCTGCGCCGCCCCTCGCGCGCCAGGGGAAGGGGGCAGGCACGGCGCCGACCAGAGAACTACGCGCGGAACCTCCAGAAGATGTTATGCGATTGCGACTTCTTCTCCTTCTTCGAATACCGATTCACGCGCTTGGCCGCGCCCACGGCAGCCTCGCCGTCGGGACCGGCCATCCACGCTCCGAACTTGCCGTGCCTCGCCAGATCGAGATCGTACTCCTTGGGGTCGGGCCGCTCCTGGAACGCGGCCGAGGCGCTCGCGAAGCTCGTGCCGTTGAACCAGGCCCAGAAGCCCTCGTAGCTGTAGGGCACCGGAGGCATCGGAATGCGCTGGCTTCGCTCGGCTTTTTTCACTGGCTGCCCTTCCACGGCCAGCGCGGGCTCTGGCCTCGTCAGCAGGTACAGCACGCCGAGGCCCGCAGAGAGCATGGCTAGCCACTGCAATCGGCTCCACCAGCGGATCTCAGCGAGGCTGCGGTTGCGGGCGTACCCCATGCAGCCGTCGGGCGAAGGCATACTCAGGGCTTGAGCGGCATGCTCAAGGCTTGAGCCAAGCTTGCTCGAGCCCAAATGGCTTCGGACGGGCGGGGAGAGGCCAGCACGCATGGACCCTTACCGCTGGCCAGAGAACCGATGGCGCAAAGCTCCCGTGGGCCCCCCCTGCGCACGTCGCCGCAGCAGCCCTGATCCCTCGTTTGCCTGGCCTGGACAACTGCTGTTTCCTCATGAGACTCCTGTCGGGCAGTTTGTGTATGCTGAACACAGGCAGTTTACTTCGTGTTCCTTCCGCCGACAAGCGCGCCCTTTCCGGCGAGAGCGGGAGGTCGATCCTGCGCTCTTTTTACAAGCAGTTGCGGCATTTGCGGACTCTGGTGTGATTCGACGCGTTACCTGAACCAGCTAGTCTCAAATTCTGAAACTGGTCTGGATCACCCCCTCCCCTGTCAACTTGCCCTTGCGCGATCTTGGGTGTGCCGATGAGCTATTGGGGTATGCCAATGGATTCGTTGGGTCCCCCACCGACCCCCAACTTTGCCCTTGCGCGATCTTGGGTATGAAAATGGGCTCCTGGCAATGCAATGGATTCCTTGGGTATGGCAATGGGTACCTCGGATATGACAATGGGCCCCCTGGGTCTGGCAATGGATTCCTTGAATGTATTTCACTAGGGTCCTAGCCAACCTAATAGAGCATGGACACCAAAGAGTTCGTGTGGGCATTCGAGCAGGAGCCCAGTGGAGTCCAATGGAGTCCACTGGACCCGTCCAAATTGAGCCAGCCGCATGGGTGTTCGAGTAGAATATAATACAAATGGAGTCCAATGAAGGTCAATGGAGACCAAAGGAGTCCGTGGAGCCAATGGTGTCCAAATGGAAACCAATGGAGTCCAATGGAGCCTAATTGAGCCGAATAGGGTCCAGAAGAATCCATAAAGGAGTTAGCTGCCTCATTGTGAATCTCTGGGCGTGTGAGACTCGAATGCCTCCCCAGGGACCAAAACCAGCGATTTGTCTCCCCCCCTGGGCTTCCCACGACCCTGGCGCGAACGCATCATGGGAGTGTTCAAACTGTTCCAGTGCTTTTTGGCAGCCTGGCCCCAAGAGATGCCCAAGAGGGGGAACGCGACATCATTTTCACTCTCTTCGCTCCGAAAGGACCCGTGAGAACACAAGAAAGCGCTCCAGAGGCATCCAAGAAACCCAAAGAGCCCGCCAGGAGGCCCAACTGAGCCCCCAAAACTGGCACCCGAAAGGCTTCGAAGCAACCCAGAAGGTTCCCAAAATACCCCAACAAGCATCCAACAGTCCTCTGACCCACAACCACTGGCGCGGTGGCGGTACGGGCCACAGGCTGGTGCGCCAGTGGTTCACGGCCCAGGTATGGTGGCCTGTGGTCACGACCCATGCACGGTGGCGGTGTGTGTCTCTCATGGAGCTTCCACCGTCTGTCTCTCCGCCCCACTTCTGCCACTGCATTACCTTCTTGCCTTGTCTCCCCACCACCTCTGCTCCTACTGTGCTCCTCCTCCTCCTCCTTCTCTTCCTCCTCCTCCTCCTCCTTCTTCTCCTCCTCCACCACCTCATTATCCTCCTCCACCTCCTCCTCATCGTTCTCATCGCTGGGTGAACTCATCAGGGGAAGTCCGACCGTCACTACGGAGCTCCGTGACGGCCCCTCCGAGCTACACGACGGCCAAGAAGGCTCTACGAGGGCTGTAAGAAGCCCCCTAGATGAAGGGGCCGGCGCATGTGGCGTAAGCCTCTAGAATCCACGTCCAGAAGTGACGTGTTGCCGGAGGCAGGTCGCGCAGCGGAGCGGAAGCCCTAATGCAATGTATCCAATGTATCCAATGATTGCATTATTGCCACATACTGCATTGTGTTACATTATTATGTCTCCCCCCCTACCCCCCCCCCCGGAGTCGCTCCACTTCCGTCGACCCAAAGGTGGAGGGCCCCTTCGGGGCCTCAAAACCTACAAAAACATAGGGAAAATCGATGATTTGGGCTCCTTGGGCCTCTTGGGGGTCCAAGAGGGCGTGAAGACGGCTCAAGATGGTCTCAAGACGGGGCAAGACGGCCCCAAGACGGCCCAAGATGGCCCCAAGAAGGCTCAAAAAGCCCCCAAGATGTCCCAGGAGGGCCCCAAGAGCGCCCACAAGAGCGCCTCCAAAGGCCAAAAACATAGATTTTCCTAAAGTTGTTGAAAGATTTTAGCGTTCTCGCCTTTTCCGGCTCTCAAAGGCCCATGACGGCCCAAGCAGCCTCCAAAATGGCCCCAAGACAACCCAAGCAGCACCCAAGGGGGCCCCAAGACGGCCCCAGAGGGCCCCAAGTCGGCCCAAAGAGGCCGCCAAGACGGTCCAAGAGGCCCCCAAGACGGCCCAAGAGGACTCCAAGAGGGCCCCAAGGCGGCCGCGAGAGGCCCCCAAGAAGGCCCCCGAATGGGCCAAACGGCGCAAAAGCGCCCCAAGACGGCCCAAGACGGCCCAAGACGCCCCCAAGAGGCCGCCAAGAGGCCCCCAGGAGGCCCCCAAGAGGCCCCAGGAAGCCCCCAAGAGGCCTCCAAGAACCCCCCAGGAGGCTCCCGAAAGGCCCCACAACGGCTGGACTGTACGTGCTCCGGACGTGCACCCCGCGAAGCGAGGCGGCCCCAAGACGGCCCAAGATGGCCCCAAGAGAGCCTACAAAGACCCCAAGACGCCCCAAGAGGCCCCCAGAGGACCCCCAAGAGCACCTCCAGTAGCCAACAACAATTGATTTTCCCATGGTTGCTTGAAGATTTCAGCGTTCCCACCTATTTCGACTCTCAGAGGTCCAGCACGACCGAAACAGCCTCCGAAGTGGCCCCAAACGGCCCAAGAAGCCCTCAAGAGGGCCCCAAAACAGCCCAGGAGGGCCCCCAGGCAGTCCAAAGAGGCCGCCGAGATGCCCCAAGAGGCCCAAGAGTACCCCAAGACAGTCTCCGAAGAGACCAGACAGCGCAAGAGCGCCCCCAAGACGCCCACACGGGGCTCCGAGAGATCCCCAAGAGGCCCCCCAAGAGGCATCCCAGACGCCCCCGCGAGGACCCAAGAGGCCCCAAAGAGGCCTCCAAGGGGCCCCCAAGAAGTTCCCAGAGGCCCGACAACGACTGGACTGTACGTGCTCCGGACGTGCACCCCGCGATGCGAGAGGAATCCACATCCAGAGGTGACGTGTTGCCGGAGGCAGGTCTGCGGAGGCGATAACGCAACGTATCCAATGTATCCAATGACTGCACAATTGCTGTATATTGCATGGTGTTACATTATTATGTCTCCCCCTCTACCCCCCCCGAGGCCACGCCACTTCCACCGACCCAAGGTGGCCCCTCCCCTCCTGGGCCTAAAAACCTAGCAAAACCTATACACAATCAATGCGTTGGGTCTGTTGGCCCCCTTAGGGGGCCCAACAGGGCCTCAAGACGGCTCGAGATGGCCCCAAGACGTCCCAAGGCGGCCCCAAGACGGCCCCAAGATGGCCCCCAGAGGACCCCCAAGACCACCTCCAGTAGCCCAAAACCATTGATTGTTCCATGGTTGCTTGAAGATTTCAGCGTTCCCGCCTATTTCGACTCTCAGAGGTCCAGCACGACCGAAACAGCCTCCGAAGTGGCCCCCAAACGGCCCAAGAAGCCCCCAAAACGGCCCAGGAGGGCCCCCAGGCAGCCCAAAGAGGCGGCCGAGATGCCCCAAGAGGCCCCCAAGACGGCCCAAGAGTACCCCAAGACAGTCTCCGAAGAGACCAAACAGCGCAAGAGCGCCCCCAAGACGCCCACACGGGGCTCCGAAAGGCCTCCAAGATGCCTCCCAGAGGCCCCCAAGAGGCATCCCAGACGACTCCGCGAGGACCCAAGAGGCCCCAAGGAGGCTTCCAAGGGGCCCCCAAGAAATTCGCAGAAGCCCGACAACGACTGGACTGTGCGTGCTCCGGACGTGCACCCCGCGAAGCGAGGGGAATCCACGTCTGGAAGTGACGTGTTGCCGGAGGCAGGTCGCGCAGCGGAGCGGAAGCCCTAATGCAATGTATCCTATTGCATTGCGTTACATTATTATGTCTCCCCCACTACCCCCCCCCCCCGGAGTCGCGCCACTTTCCGTCGACCCAAAAGTGGAGGGCCCCTTCGGGGCCTCAAAACCCACAAAAACATAGGGAAAATCTATGATTTGGGCTCCTTGGGCCTCTTGGGGGTCCAAGAGGGCGTGAAGACGGCTCAAGATGGTCTCAAGACGAGGCAAGACGGCCCCAAGACGGCCCAAGATGGCCCCAAGAAGGCTCAAAAAGCCCCCAAGATGGCCCAGGAGGGCCCCAAGAGCGCCCACAAGAGCGCCTCCAAAGGCCAAAAACATCGATTTCCCTTGAGTTTTTGAAGGATTTTAGCGTTCTCGCCTTTTCCGGCTCTCAAAAGCCCATGACGGCCCAAGCAGCCTCCAAAATGGCCCCAAGACAACCCAAGCAGCACCCAAGGGGGCCCCAAGACGGCCCCAAGTCGGCCCAAAGAGCCCCCAAGACGGTCCAAGAGGCCCCCAAGACGGCCCAAGAGGACTCCAAGAGGGCCCCAAGGCGGCCGCGAGAGGCCCCCAAGAAGGCCCCCGAAGGGGCCAAACGGCGCAAAAGCGCCCCAAGACGGCCCAAGACGGCCCAAGACGCCCCCAAGAGGCCGCCAAGAGGCCCCCAGGAGGCCCCCAAGAGGCCCCAGGAAGCCCCCAAGAGGCCTCCACGAACCCCCCAGGAGGCTCCCGAAAGGCCCCACAACGGCTGGACTGTACGTGCTCCGGACGTGCACCCCGCGAAGCGAGAGGAATCCACGTCCGGAGGTGACATGTTGCTGGAGGCAGGTCTGCGGAGGCGATAACGCAACGTATCCAATGCATCCAATGACTGCACAATTGATGCATACTGCATGGTGTTACATTATTGTCTCCCCCCTGACCCCCCCCCGAGACCACGCCACTTCCACCGACCCAAGGTGGCCCCTCCCCTCCTGGGCAAAAAAACTTACCAAAACCTATACAAAATCAATGCGTTGGGTCTGTTGGCCCTCTTGGGGCCCAACAGGGTCTCAAGACGGCTCGAGATGGCCCC